CTGAAAAAAATTACATAAATTTACGTTTTCACCATTAATGTGATCTAAAAATAGATGCTGATAAAAATAGAAACATGTTTTTAACAAACAGCAAAATTTCAATCCAACAACAAACCCACTGAAACCGGAAGACACACAAAGATTACATTTTAACGACAAAATCTGAAAAAAATAACACTTATGAATAAAATATTATAAACTACAAAAATTGCTTAAAACAAGACATCTTCACAACAACTACATTAACATCATTAACTTTGTTAACAACAACAATAACATCAATTATAACAACAGAAAAATCATTGTGAACAACGATACAGAAACATTTTAAAACATAAACAACATTCTCAGCAACAGTAACAACAACAACAACAACATCGATATCAATTTCGAAAACATTAACATCTAAAACAAGTTTCAAAACATCATCAACATTAAAGACATTAATAACATCACCAATATCCACATTACCAACATTTATAGCAACAAACAACAATCTCAATAACATTATCACCATCCACAACAACATCAACACAAATTTTAATGACCAACACATCAACAATAACATCAACAAAAGCAACAGCAAAAACAACATCAGCAACAACATCAACAACAGCAACCTCAACAGCAATCTCAACAGCAACAATAACATCAACAAAAACATCAACAACAACAACATCAACAACAACATTAAGATCGGGAAAGTTCGTTATTGGCATTATTGCCACACCACCATGACACACAAATAAATAAATCATTCAGTATAAAGTCAGTGCGCGTGTAATATCACTAGCCATTGTTGTAGCCTTCGTAGTTTCAGTTTTTGTGGTAGTAGCAGCGATAGTAGTAATAGAAGTAGTAGTAGTAGTAGTAGTAGTAGTAGTAGTAGTAGTATTAAAAATAACAATAAAAATAATAATAATAGCAGTAGTGGCATTAGCAGTAGTAGTAGCTGAAGTAGTTGTAATCGTTTTAATAGTAGTAGCAGCAGCAGCACTAGTAGTAGTAATAGTAGTACAACTCGTTTCAAACAGTTGATTTGTGGGTTGCAATATGAACGCGCGTGCAAAGATTTCAAGTATTTTTTTTAAAGTTTCATATCCATATAATTTTGTTGAATTATTTTTCTTGCGAAAATTTTTATATCGCAAGTAAAAATTTTATTTTCACTACTATTACTACTACTACTATTATTACTACTGCTACTACTACTATTACTACTACTGTTGCTACTTCTACTACTACTAATACTACTACCACCACCACTACTACTACTACTACTGCTACTACTACTACTACTACTATTTCTTCTATTACTACTACTGCTACTTCTACTATTACTACTACTGCTACCACCACCACTACTACTACTACTGCTACTACTTCTACTACTGCTACTTCTTCTACTACTACTACTGCTACTACTACTACTTCTACTACTAC